CACCTTTCCCTGGGCTTAAATCTCCTTAATTACTGACGTGAGTCAGCTGTGTAAAAGGGAAAGGTGGCACCTCAGGCAGAAGAGGTAGTGTGACACGCCCACACAGGCACCTTCAGGAGGAGGCCCAGCTAGGGCCGTAACACCAGTGAACAACTGTTTGAAACTTGCTGGTGGCAAGGAAACCCACTTCGTGTTGAATACAAAACGACATACGTTCCAGAGTCGTCTGTTTCTAATACCAGTTGTGCTAACAAGACAGCAAAAAGACAGAAGGTGTATTTCAAGAGTTGTTTTTCCCCTCTAATACTAAATAAAATGATTTATACATATCTACAACACACCCTTCTATATCAATTATATAATACTGCATGTATACTATGTACATAAACTAGTGTTGTAAAATAAACGTTTAAAGTTTCATTTGGTCTTCAAAGTTTACGTTTTCGATTTTGTCTCATTTCAGAGAAAAAAAAAAGTGAAACTATAAAACATACACAGATGCTCCAAATATTAAAACAAAAAGTGAGAGTGAACATGAAAGACATCTATCTTTAAACAACCAGGCAGGTCAGAATTGTTCACATAAGACACTAAAGACACTCAGCAGTTACAGAATCACTGCAATAATGAGACAATCTTTAAATTCTTAAGAAATCCCTCATGTAGACGTTAAACGTGATTCTGAGTCCATGAGAGCCTGCAGATTTGTCTGTGCATCTGCAGTTACACAGCTTATCTAACAGAAGGAGATACTTCTACCTGCACAGAACACAGACGCACTGAGGAACCACATGAATGGTGCCAGACTCCAAAGCCAGGATAAAGAGGTTCAGTGCATGTGGTGTTGAAGGTGTGGAGGTGGATCAGAGAGTCACTGGAGACATTGTAGAAGGACAGAGTGCCAGCAGGACAGTCCACATACACTGCTACTCGCTTAGGGCCACAGGAAGGGGACAAGGAGGATGAGGGGTGAATGACTGATATTCTCTGATTGTGATACACAGTGTAGCCACGGGCATTAGAGCAGTCCAGACTCCAGGACTGAGGATTCTCTCCAAATCTGCAGTTTTTTCGTTCTCCTTTCCTTGCTATTCCTCTGTAACTTACTGATATGTCAACCTCACCTGTCCACTCCACCTCCCAGTAACACCGACCATGTAAAACATCTTTACACAGCAGCTGACACCAGTCAACAAATCTGTCAGCATGATCGGGATATATGAAGTTGTTTCTCGTATGTGTCACCTTCATGTTATTCATAGACAGTTTGAGATTTTTGTTTATTGTATTTGTGTTGACTGTAAGTTTAGAGAGATCTGTCAAGAAAAGAGACAATGCAGCTGCAGTTAATCTACCAGCTGTTCCTTTAACACTTCACAATATCAGTGATAATCTTAAGAGAATGACACCAAAATATAAAGACAGCTTAATATTTACTGTTTTATCTTTATGAATTAAAAAAACAAAACACTTACACTTCTTCAATCCTGGTTTCAACCACTCTGCTCCAGCAGGTTCCACCCTGAAATGACAAATATCAGCACCATATCTTTCAACATGCAAAAACAGAAATTACATCCAGTGTATCAACACCCATTGTGCTCAGTCATTAACAATAATGTCATCTCATCAACCTTAGGTTTTCCAGTTTCCAGTGTTGATCCTTTACTCCAGTCTGAAGCTCTACGCCTGCATCCTCTGGATGATTGTAACTCAAGTCCAACACTTTCAGATGTGAGGGGTTGGAGTTCAGAGCTGAGGCCAGAGAAGCACAGCCATCCTTTGTGATCAAGCAGCCCGAAAGCCTGGAGGCACACAAAATGAGGCTGGATAAGCTACTAAAGCAACAAAACGCTGACGTACTGTGATCTATCATTTAATTAAGCTGATTATTATCATCACATTTTGTTTCTTTAATTATAATCCAGACCATTAACTTCAACCAATAATCAGGTGTCCCAATAGAAAACGTAATAAAAATAAATATTATAATATAACAATGTAAGCAGAGAAACAGTCATCTTAATTCACAGTGTAAATACTGATTGTAGAGGCTAATCTTAACCTGAGAGTTTCCAGTTTGCAGTGTTGACTTTCCAGTCCAGTGGACAGTGCCTTCACTCCTGTATCCTTCAGGTTGTTGTTATTCAGGTCCAGCTCTCTCAGACTCGATGACTGGCAGGAGAGAGCTGGAGAAAGAGCTTCACAGCTTTTTTCTGACAGGTTGCAGACACTCAGTCTGAAAAGACAATAATGAATAGGACACAATGATTGGTTTGAATAAACAAATAATCTAATAATGAGCATAAAATCTTATCAACTACAGTGGTATGCAAAAGTTTGGGCACTCCTGATAATTTTCATGTTTTTCCTTCATAAATCATTGGTTGTTTGGATCAGCAATAGTGTGCAATAGTTACTTAAACTAAATTAGGCAGGTACATAAATTTGGGCACCCCAACAGAAAAATTACATCAATATTTAGTAGATCCTCCTTTTGCAGAAATAATGCCTCCAAACACTTCTTATAGCTTCCAATGAGAGTCTGGATTCTGGTTGAAGGTATTTTGGACCTTTCGTCTTTACAAAACATCTCCAGTTCAGTCAGGTTTGATGGTTTCCGAGCATGGACAGTCACACCATAGATTTTCAATAATATTCAGGTCTGGGGACTGAGATGGCCATTCCAGAACATTGTACTTGTTCCTCTGCATGAATGCCTTAGTAGATTTTGAGCAGTGTTTAGGGTCATGGTCTGGCGCAACATATTAGAAAACAAAATTGGCTTTTAAGTTATCTTACTGTCAAATCATACAATTTTATACAGATACTTTAAAAGTCTCAGATTATTTGTAAATAATAGGCTCAGATTATTTACAAACTCTACTGTACAATACATTTTTTCCCATAATTTTCTATGAGGGTCATAGTGATGTACAAATACAGGTAGATGTTTTGTTGAAATCACATCCCAGACAATTTACACAGGATCAAATTAGGTAAGGGTAAAGCACAGTAAGCTGAACTTTTCAGGGGACAGCACTAGTTCAGAATTCATACCTTGTGATTTAAAAGGCACTGAGAGAATTTTTAGATAATGTCTTGTATAAATAACTGAATTAAGAAAACCATGTACCCATAAATTGAATAAATATATTTGATTTATGCAAGCATGTATACTGTGGTTAAGTGCTCTATATGCCATTAGCAATCATGAAGTAACTCAAATGGCTCCAGATGGCCAAATATAAAAATGTTGGTACTTGTATCTGCTTTTAAAGGATCGATAAAGTTTTCTGCTGTGCTGTTTTACTCCCATAGCTATTCCTCAAAGTCACAACATTCAATTTAATTCAGTTTTATTTATACAGCATCATATCACAACAAGTGTTCTCAAGTCACTTTATATTGTAAGGCATCCCTCCTTCAATAAATCTGTGGCTATATGAAAATCTGTGGCAATGTCAGACTCTGTAGTTTTCTCTGGTCCCCTCCCCAATCAGACCAGGAGTGACATGTTTAGCCGCATGTTCTCCTTAAATTGCTGGCTGTCTGAGTGGTGTCCCAGAAACGATGTGGGCTTCATAGATAATTGGCAGACCTTCTGAAGGAAACCTGGTCTTGTTAGGAGAGACGGCATTAATCCCACTTTGGATGGAGCAGTTCTCATTTCTAGAAATATGGACAAATTTATTAAACCCCCCCCAAAATATGACTATCCAGAGTTGGGACCAGGAAGCAGAGTTGCAGTCTTACACGCCTCTCTGCAGCTTCTCTCCTCCTGTTACCCCCCTAAAACCCCATTTCCATTGAGACTGTGTCAGCTCCCAAACAGACGAAAAACTAAAAACCAGCAATAAACAACTTAAACATAAAAAAATCACAAAGGAAGAACAATACAGTATCCACATCTGAAACAAAGAGTAAAACAGTGAAATGTGGATTATTAAATATTAGGTCTCTCTCCTCCAAGTCTCTGTTAGTACATGACTTAATAATTGATCAACAAATCGATTTACTCTGCCTTACAGAAACCTGGTTGCAGCAGGATGATTATGTTAGTTTAAATAGTTTAAATGAATCAACACCCCCGAGTCATTCTAACTACCAGAAATCTCGAAGCACAGGCAGAGGGGGCGGTATGGCAGCAATTTTTCACACCAGCCTATCAATCAACGAAAGACTGAGACAGACTTTTAATTCATTTGAAAGCCTGATGCTTAGCATTGTCCACCCCAGCTGTAAAACTCAGAAACCAGTCTTGTTATCATCTATCGTCCACCTGGACCTTACACAGAGTTTCTGTCTGATTTCTCAGACTTTTTATCTGATTTAGTGCTCAGCTCAGATAACATAATTATTATGGGTGATTTTAACAATCATGTACAGTGGGGCAAAAAAGTATTTAGTCAGCCACCGATTGTGCAAGTTCCCCCACCTAAAATGATGACAGAGGTCAGTAATTTGCACCAGAGGTACACT